CTGTGGCCTCTTCTCCCCTTTTCTCTGGCAGTCTAAGGACCTTTGACGTCATCATGTTTAATGCAAGTACTATAGACCTGCATTAGATGTGAGAACAATAAGGGACAGTTCACCAGCTGTAGCAGAGGGGTAGAAGAGGAGAGCGTTGATGGCTAGGGGAGCGGAGATCAGCTAAGTAAAAGTAGCCCCGCTGCAAAGTAATTTTTTGGGTTTGCCCGGAGATGGACTTTATGTCCAGCCCTGGCTTGCCTTCATGTAGGTAGGTGCAGTATGGCCAACGGCCACTAGATGCCCCCATGGGGCCCTAGAGATAGATGCAGCTCTGGCCTGGGAAGACTCTGTGTCCCTGGAGGGTTGATTGATAGGGGGCGCCCGAGAGGGGAAGTAGGCAGAGATTACAGGAGAGCAGAAGTCTAGGACTGTTTGCAGAGTCTCTGGAGGGAGACTGTTTCTTGAACATAGGCTGGTCCATGGAAAGGACAGGACCAGGCCTAGGACTATGTAGAGCTACAAAGATTCCCTAGTTTCCCCATAGGGGGAAAACCCACCGAGCTAGGACTGACAAGGATGGGATTCCTGAGAATATGGAGGAGCTGTAGTACTGACGATATTTGCCAGTGGGCCTCTGGCCGAAGTAAGTCGTGGACTCTATGCTGCACCTGGGCTGATGTACCTCTCTCTCTCTAAAGTGTAACACCAAGCAAGTAACAAGAATTGTGCCGTCATCCCACCCGGGGGTGGCTGAAACGTATGCTTTGTTCTGTTTATACCTGCAAGTAAAACCAAGAAAAAGACTATCTGTGTGGACTGGTTCTTCTCCCTCCAAACTCTGAGAAGGTGGGGTTCTACCGGAGTGTGATGTTGGACTGTATCGTGGCTGTAACCATCTGAGGAGGGTAGGTGTGCAATGAGGCTATGTCCGACACAGAGTGCCGTTCATGGTGGCCTTTCTCCCTAAGGGGGAGGAAGCGCCGAAGACCGCAGAGGCGGTTGAAGCCATGAGGCCCTGTGTACGCAGTACTACACGTGTGGGAGTGTTTGCACGAGGCCAAGGCCGTGGCCCCTGACCGTGGGGTGTCTGGTTTCGAGTTGCATGCACGGGGTTACCCAGCCAACCCAAAGGGAACACACGCGCAACACCCCCCGAGAGTGAACCCCGCCTACATTTATCCTTCTTTATATACCAGCATAAATATTCATCATATAAGAAGACTACATATATTTGCCTTTTTTTCACAACGCTTACATACACACTGTCGGTATTTAATTTCCACAAAACAGAAAATGGATAAAGCAGATGTGCATGCCGAGACTTAGTAATGTGACTCAGAGCAATTAGTGGAGATGTACGTGGCACAGCTATGCTTTCTATTGGTGTATGAATGTATTAAAGAGGTTTAAGGGCGAGGGAGGAGGGCCATCTGTTATTACACTAAACACATCAGCTCAGTGACATGAAAATAGCACAGAGCTCGTCTGACTGGTCATTGTAACCTTAGTCACTGGGGACTCTTCCTTAGGATACACCGCCTGCTATATGTCAGCTATATATCAGCAGGATTTTCCTTCCCAGCTGTGCATTTCTGTCACTCGTGACCAACGTGCAGTAACAGAGCCCCTCATGCCTGAAACCAACACTGTCTGTGTTGCCTACACCAACCAGCTTCACCCTTCCATGTTCCCAGGGCAGATTAGGAAATGATGAGAAGAAGTGTGGTCACCCTTAACTAGGACTAAAAAAACACCTTTTTACCTCATCTTCTGCGTACCATAGGGGAGAGGTGTTCTGTAGTGCATAAAGAGAATTAGGAACAATGCTCACTGATAACAGTCAGCAGACTGATCATTTTAGTGAGGCAGTATGTAAATGACATAAGGCTTCATTCACAAAACATGATTAAGGCTGGCCATACACCTATCAATTTTTTCAGTTCACCCCACGGGCTGAACAAAAAAAATCGACCCGATTCCTCCATCACCACAAACAGCCTTTTGATCGAGGAATCACTGTTGTTTGCATTGTATGCTGACAGGTGCCGGCAACACCTGTCAGAATACCCGGTCAGAGCGGGCAGCTCATTGGCTGCCAGTTCTGCATGTACGGAGATTTTCCAGCTGGCTTCTTAGATCAGCTGATCGAGGAATGCGGGCTGAAAGGGAGTAGACAGCCCCACACACTGTGCAAATTTCAGCCAGTACATCAAAAAACGGCCGAAATTTCGGCCAGTGTATGGGCACCTTAAGGCTTCATTCACACTGGGCGATTTGGGATTCCTGTGGCAGAAATCCTGAATCTCATGTTCAGATACGCTCGCTGTACCTGTAAAGTTAATGACAGCGGCCACATCTTTAAGTGGCAGTCCACATGTAATCGTATGTGATATGAGTACATGCGGTTTGGAATAAATCACGGTCCCGGGATGCAGGATACATGGGTACAGGCACAGTGATCTATTCCAAACCACATGTAGTTGTATAACATACAGTTACGTGTGGACTGCTGCTTACAGATGCGGCTGCTGTCACCTGCTTATTCACTTGAACTGATGACAGCAGCCTCATCTAAATGGGACATTTGGGACTCCTTTGGGAACCCAAATCGCTCAGTGTGATTGTAGCCTTAAAGTATTTTGACATCAAATATATTTTAAAACTTTATCTGAAAAAACAAACAAACAGCTACTTTTGATTGTTGAAATACTTTGATAGTAAAAATGAATTCTCAATGCTTATATAGATAAGCACACCATAAAATATCGCTGGCTGGCAGGAAGTGTGAGTTTCAATGAGGGGGAGAGCGAGAAGCGGTGACTATAAAATAATGACTCAAGGACAAATTAGGCCTCATTCAGGCGGGTGTATAAGGGCAGACAGGCTGCTGCAATCAGATGCAGCTGGACTCCACATCAGGACGCAGCAGCACTCAAAGCCATGACCACACTAAAACTGGGCGATTAACTGTGGACAGAAACTAAGAGTAGTGTGTCTTGCAACCAATAAGTAAAACTGTTTTACCCAGGCACCTAAGCATTTAACCATTGCAGTGCAGTGCCAGCCCTACTGCAAGGGACGCCTTTTTCTTTCTGATGCTCTTTCATGGGAGGGGACGCAGACACCTGTAAACATCACAGCATTATGCCTCAGATTTTTTTCAAAAGCAATATATGCATTCCCAGCATCCCTTTAGATGTGCCTGCTTCTCCCTGCTGGCCAATGGCTGCTGCAGATGTTAGCTGTGCAGTCTGCTGATTGGTTGCAGGCACGTCTGAAGATAGCTGGGGTTTAGATGTGTTTTTTCATATAACAAAAAGAGGAAAATGACTGATGGCAGATTGATGAAAAATGGAGGTTGTTCAGACAGTTATTGAAGGTGGCCTCAAGGGGTTATAGTGTGAAGATTCAAGTTTATAGGGAACAGAGATTTAACACAGGACACTGTACTACAGAACACACACCAGTGTAAGTTGTCCATGCTCTTTCACACTGTACTACAGAACACACACCAGGGTAAGATGTCCACAATATGACCACTGGCCTCCTAGCAACCAATGGCATTACGGGTCCTCCTCCTCTGCAGTCATTGGTTGCTAGGACTGGTAGAACCTCTTTTGTAATATTTGTCATACAAGTGTCATATGTCCTGTGAGGCAGTCTGATTCTAGTATGCGTCATACAATGGCCGTGCATCCTGTGCGGCGGTCTGATTCTAGCGTGTGTCATACAAGGCTCATGTGTCCTGGGCGGCAGTCTGATTCTAGTATGCATCATACAAGGGCCATGCATCCTGTGTGGGGGTCTGATTCTAGTATGTGACATACAAGGGTCATATGTCATGAGCGCGAGTCTGATTCTAGCATATGTCATACTAGGGTCATACGTCCCATGCACCCATCTGGTTCTAGCATGTGTCATACAAGGATCATACATCCCGTGCACCCATCTGATTCTTGTATGTGTCATACAAGGGTCATACATCCCGTGCACCATTCTGATTCTAATCCGTGTCATACAAGGGTTGTCAATCCCATGCACCAATCTGATTCTAGCATGTGTTATACAAGGGTCATACGTCACGTGCACCAGTCTGTTTCTAGCATGTGTTATACAAGGGTCATACGTCACGTGCACCAGTCTGATTCTTGCATGTCTCATACAAGGGTTATACAGACACATAAAAGTCCCACTGCACTCCTAACCAATATGAACCGGTCATTTGTGACTGGGTGCTGCAGTGACCGTGGATGGCACCACAAATCAATCAGTAGTAGATGAGAAAGTCACCGGCACTCCAATATTTGCTCAACCACCTGTCTTTATTGATGCTGAAAGGTTACATCACAGTGTAAAATCCTTTACTACTGATACAAGGGTTATATGTCCCGTGCGGCGGTCTGATTCTAGCAAGTGTCATACAAGGGCCATAGGTCCCATGCTCAAGTCTGATTTTAGCATGTGTCATACAAGGGTTATACATACCGTGCAGCAGTCTGGTTCTAGGATGCGTCATACAAGGGTCACATGTCCCGTGCGGCAGTATGATTCTGGTATTTGTCATACAAGGGTCATACCTCCCGTGCAGCAGTCTAATTCTAGTATTTGTCATACAAGGGTCATACATCCGGTGCGGCAGTCTGATTCTAGCATGTGTCATTCAAGGCTCATACTTCCCGGGCGTCAGTCTGATTCTAGCATGTGTCATACGTCCCATGCGGCAGTCTGATTCTAGTATACATCATACAAGGGTCATATGTCCCGTGCAGCAGTCTAATTCTAGTATGTGTCATACAAGGGTCATACGTCTTGTGTGCCAGTCTGATTCTATTATATGTCATACAAGGGTCATATGTAGTTAATTGTAGTATGTGCCATACAAGTGTCATATGTAGTTAATTCTAGTGTAAGTCATACAAGGTTCATATGTCGTTGATTCTAGCATGTGTCATGCAAGGCTCATAAATCCTGTCACGCTGCCCTCACTATGAAAATTCAGAGCACATTACCTGATCTCCAGGTCATCTAACGCCTCCAGCAGGTGACTGGATCGAGCTGCCATGGACATGGATCGAGAGAACTTGCCCCCATTTGCCCCCTCGCAGGCTTTGGCTTGGATCTTGGCTTGAGCCATGTCCTCCGGATAATGAATGGGAAGAGCAAGGCAGATCAGGATCTTTCCAGACACATCATCATCAGACACTCAGGACAGACCCATGAAACAATTCCTAACAAGGTGCTGGGCGGATCCTGGTCTGATCTCCCCCCTCCCTGCACTCTGTACACTCTGCAGCCTGACTATGGTACACACTGTGCTCTTCATGCTGGTCACCCTGCCATTGAGACAATGCAGAATCAATACACATTAATAAGGAAAGCTTATATGTCCCTATGATGTAGCTGGCACACTGAAATCAAAGCCTCCGCTGTGCACAATACTGGGGTTACAAGCTATCACTTGTCACAGCACTCTGTGCCCTACCGGGGATATTCCCTCAAAATAGAGCATGCGTCACTTTTCTGGTGTCATAGCGTTCTCCAAATTTATTAAAGCAGTTCAAGAGTTGTAATGATATTCCCGACCTGTGCGACAAACCCAGATTGTTTCTTATTAGTGACACCTTTACAATGGCTGCTTCATAAAGAAATACCACTGTTTCGGAAACTGGCAGTATATAAGCTGTGCCATCTTGGTGTGATTAGGTTCTGGAGCAGGCAGAATCGGGAGCAGTTGCTCATGGCAACCAATTATCTTCTTTATCTTCGAAGCTTAACAGAACATTCTGAAGAGAGAAGCTGATTGGCTGCCACGGGCAGGTTTTATGATTTCCCCTCAGTATGTCGCCCCCCCATTGGTTGTTAGGTCCTATAAACCAATGACGCTGTGGCCATCAGCATTCTACCAAACAATCACGCTGTGCAGCTGAGCGTCACTAGTTGCTAGGATGCTGGCGACTTAGCCGCACAGCTGCATTGGTTTCTAAGACATAGGCAACCAGGCCACCTGCGTCCTAGCAACCAATGGCACTGTACAGCACAAACCGCCAACAACCTTGGACACTATCACAATGCTTACATAAATCTCAATAAATCCATTCATAAAACACAGTGAGGGATATTTATCAAAACTGGAGCAGGCAGAATTTGGAGCAGTTGTCCATGGCAACCAATCAGCTATCTTTGATTTTTAAAGCTCAGATGAACAAACTAAAGAGATAAGCTGATTGGTTATTTTGGGAAACTGCTCCAGATTCTGTCTGCTCCAGTTTTGATAAATCCCCCCCAATTAAGTGGATTGCAAAAATAATTCAATTTTTGCAGGTCACAGGTTGCAACACTTATGTGTTTGGCACACCTTAGAGAGCTCTATCAGGTAATCATTGAGGCACTGCTGGAGGAGCTGAGAATCTGAGCACTGCTCTTTGGAGTCTTTGTGTAAGTCCCTTGCATTGCACTCATATTGTATCTGCCTACATTCTGCATACAAGTATCCTGATTATATCCCTGTGCAGCAGTCCTGGGTGAGATGCTGTCAGTCCTTTACTTAGTACCGCTCCACCAGCAGGCATGGGCTTCTAAGATAGCGTTTCTCAACCCTTTTTCAGTCATGGCAGCCTTTGCAAGTATGCAAAATCTCAAGGCACTCCAATCTAAAATGAACAAATGTAAAAAGTGACAAGTGGTCCCTTTAAAATCTATACCAGACCCCTATCCATACTAGGAGTCTAGTATGGATTTTAAGGGGGGACCCAATGCAAATACACAAGCAAAGTGTAGTTTTCTCTCTTAACATCAGTGTCTCCGCCAGGGGCGGACTGACAACACATGGGGCCCCCGGGCAATACAATATTATGGGGCCCCCTTGTGCTGCACCCATATACAAGCCCCATCCAAAGCTGAAAGGCTGCTGTACGGGCTATTCACAATATTCCCAATAGCCCGTACAGCAGTAGCCGAAGGCAGCTGAGCGGCTCAGCCGAACCTATAGGCTTCAGCTTGGCTGAGTCGTATTCACAGCCGAAGCCGACCGATCTCCTCGCAGATGACAGCTGGGCTGGGCAGTTGTAATAACAGATCAGCGTCCCCAAATGACCTGGGCATGCTGATCTGTCATTAGACAACAACAATGGGACGGAGCCGCTCGTGCCATCACAGCCGACTCCACCCAGTTGTTATTTATTGGCCGGGACCTACTAGAAGACTCCGGCAGGTGCCGGCCAATAGGAAACAGGATGTGCATCATTTTTTCTCGAATTTTTTTATTTTCCTATTTTTTTAAACATTTTTTAAACAATTTTTTCTAAATGTTTTGTTCTCATTCATTTAACTTTTTTTCTATTCTGCTCGCTACCACGGAGGTACCGAGCAGAATAGCCAAGCCGAATGCCACTCGCGGCATTTGGCTATTTACTTACTGCCGTTCGGCCCCTATGAGAAAAGGGGCGAACGGGAGTGAGTGAGCTGCTGGAGTTTCGGCTCAGCCGATCCAGATGTTGGATCGGCTAAGTCGAACTCCTTCTGCACTTCGGCTCAGCCGATGTACGGCTGATTTTAGCCGAGTTACAGCTCAAATCAGCCCTACAAGGCTGAAGTGAATAGCCGAACAGCGTTCAGCTCACTTCACTTTGGCTGGGTTATTCACTCGGTGAATAACCCCCATAGCGTTTGAATTTCCGTGCAGAAGACCGCACGGGAAGTTTTATGTGAAACAACTGCATGTATTCCGCTCGTTTGCAGCTATTATATAGCCGCGAACGTACATAATCCGCTGGATTACCACACTTGCACTATTTTGGGGGCCGTGCGGTTTCATACTGCGCGGTCCAGCAATAGTCTGGACAAAGCACATAAAAGTGCATTGTTTTTTCTGTTTAGTGCAGCTCCGCTCATATGAGGACAGCCGCTCCAGTGTGAATGGAGCTTTAACCCGCGCAACCCCCAAAATACTGCAAGCACGATAACCCATCAGACTCTGCATGTTTGCGGCTATATAATATAAAATAATATAAAGCGAAATCCGTGCAGTTCACATATAGCCTTTGCGTCCCGTGCAGTCTCCCACATGAAAAAACGCACGGGAAACGCAAACGCTGTATGTGAATAGAGACAAAAAGGTTCAAATCTTCCCATTTACAGCTCATTAAAAAAAATTAATTAAATTCACTTACCAGCATCAGGGCTCCTAATCCCCAGGTTCCAGTCAGGGTTTTTGTAGAACTCCTAAGTGGGGGGCCCAGGGGCGGATCTCAGTGGGGCCCCCCCAGCATGAGGCTCTCGTCCCTCCGTCCACCCTCCACGGTAGGCCCGCCCTCTGTCCACTGCGACACGCCCCCATCCACTACGACACCCCCCCACCTCGGAGCTCTTCTCGGCCGGGCCTATAGGAGATGCAGCTCTGTTAAAGCGGCAACGGCAGTGTATAACGGGCCCGGGAGGCGGGCGACCCTGCCGTCACCGCTTTAACAAACCCGCGTCCTCTTCCATGCGGGCTGAAAAGGGCACGGGGGTCGGTGACGGGCCCTCTCTTTGGCCACGGGCCCTCAGGCCGCGCCCGACTGCCCGTATGGTCAGTCCGCCCCTGGTCTCCCCCTTTCTCATCAGAAGCCACTTTCACATTAGGAGCCACCTTCACACAGGGAGCCCCCTCCCTTCACATCAGAGCCCCACCTTCACATTGGGAGCCACCTTCACACTAGGAGCCCCCTCCCTTCACATCAGAGCCCCACCTTCACATTAGGAGTCACCTTCACACTAGGAGCCGCCCTTTACATCAGAAGCTCATTTTACATCAGAGTCCCTCCTTTACTTCAGGAGCTCCCTTTACATCAGATGCCCTCTTTACATCAGAAGTTCTCTCTTCACATAAGGAGCCTTCCCTTTGACATCATAAGGTCCACTTTCACATCAAAACTCCCCTTCACACCAGAGTCCCTCTTTCATATCAAAGTCCCCCCTTTCAAATCAGAGTTCCTCCTTCACATCAAGAGCCCCCTTCACATCATAGTTTTCCATCACCCTTTAATTTCCCCTTCACACCAGAGTCCTACCATCAGGCCCGGATTCCCCACAAGGCCACCGAGGCCCGGCCTCGGGGCGGCAGGGCGCAGAAGGGCGGCAGCGGTGTCCGTGTGGGGAAGTTGCCCTCTCTACATTCAGTCCTGCTTTGTACAAGCAGGACTGAATGTAGAGTGAGGCAGACAATTTTTCGTTTACATGTGAAATCGGCAATGTCGCCGATGTCACATGTAAACAGTGTGCAGCCTTCTCCCCTTCCCCCTGCACTTACCTCTCTCCTCTGGTTCCGTCCTCCGCCAAGCGGGCAGCACAGCAGACCTGGACGCAGGTCATCCTTTTCTGAATTGATCCCACCTATCCCAGATTAGCGTAATTTGCTGGCATGGTGCTGGCGACCATCCCACCTGCTACAAAGGGAATGGCCTGTGGCTGTGTGTATGTTTCGAAGCACCCCTGAGGAAGCCGGAAAGCTCCCCAGGGTGCCACTGCAGCCTGGTTGCCATTGGTTGTTCTAGGAGATGGAATAGGACAGGGACACAGCTTTTTTGTGTTTGTTTTAGAAACTGGAGCAAGTGAACCATGGTGGAAACGCTGCACAGGCGAGGTCTATCTAAAGACTGTTGCTTCCAGGAACAAAGAAGTCAAAGTAATCTGCAGGATCAAAGGGGATTTTTTCCATACTGAAACATTTTGGAAAAAAATAAAGGGTACATATTGTTAGATTGGTTTGATAGGGAGGTCATAGCTCCCAAATGTCCCTCACTTGGAGGAACTCTCCCTCTTTTGAATCTAAATCACTCTGTCCCTCTTTCCCCTTCAGGTTTCCCTCTTTTTGGTCTGATTTATATTGAAATTAAAACATATTATATGTTCATCAAAATTGCTTCACTGCACATAAAGAGGAACTCCAGGGAAAAATATTATTAAACCTTGCAGTATCCCCACACTGGAAGGATTTACTGCTCATTTTCATCTAGGTACTGAAATAAAATAAAGTTATACTCACCCAAACCTTGGAGCCGGCTGGCTGCGACAGTTTTCCCTCCTACCTCTCTCCTCCTCCGCTGCAGTATGTCCCTTGGTGTCATCATGTCTATACACAGTATATTAGATCTGATCACATACACCAGATGTGAGATTACATCAGCATGAGATGTCAGAGAAAGGCATTTTCCTCCCCTGAGATTATGTGCATGGTCACATGTCCTAGTCACATGTGCCAGTGTGACGGGAAGTAAAGAGAGATCTTATAATCTGCCCT